GGCATAAAAGCAAGTGTTTTCCATGAGGTTTCCCCCCACCCCCCATTAACTTGCATAATGGTTTCCCTTAGCATCATGCTTAGCTTTTATTCCTTCTTTCCTTGTCTGTATCCATCTTTTTGCACCATCATGTGGTGCCCCATTGGCATAATTTTCCACCTTTTGTCTTCCCATAATGCTGCTGTAGGAGACAGATGGACTCCAGGTTAGGCATTGACATCTAGCCTGTTTACATTTCCTGAGGCAAGAGATGGTTGGGCTCCAGTTGAGCCTTTACAATCAGTGTCCTGCTTGCCCTCTGAAATGGAAGTAACAACAGAAAGAGGGTAAATAGCCAGTGTCTGTCTCTTATGAACACTTTCATAGCCATGGGAAGGGCAAAGAGGGACAAACTCCTGCTTGAGTCAAGGATGAAGAGATCTCCCCTCCCCCCACCCCCCTTTCGGTTCAAGGGAAACACTACACATGCGCAGAGAGGCTCCTTGTGGGTGAAAAGTCCCGCGAAAATGCCAGACCATAATGAGCCTTGCTTCTCCCAGAAGCCTCCACTTGGAGATCCATCTTGGCTGAGGGGTATGTGCACACCAGGGGAGAGTCCCAGGATAGGTCAGATGGGAAGAGAGAAACCAGAAACTTGGCAGGAAGGAAGACAAAGACCCAGAAGAACTGGCCTGTCTAAATGACTTAACTGCCTTGTGGTTATTGTGCTCCTTCTCACTATGGGGCGCCCATAACCTTTCTCTCCAGGTGTGTCTCTCTGCTTTGCTTCTGTCCTAACGAGACCAGCTGTTTCTCCGTGTGCTGTCCCACATGTTGCTGTGCTGTGTCACTAATAATAAACGTTGTACCTGCATTTACCGATTCTGCCTCCATGATAAATGCATTTGTCACTGGTCAAAGATCCAGGGAAACTTGGCTTCTAGCCTCTAGCCCTTGCTGGTCTGGCGGCTAGGATTCCTGGTTTTGGTTCAGGCTACCCAGGGTCAGTTCCTGGGCAGCGAAGTAGATCTCACTTCAGGCCACCACTCACTGCTGCCTCACTGAGATCAACTCAATGTTTATCACCATTTAATCTACATCATCTACATTGTCGCAACTGTTTTGTAACTTTTCAGAAAAGGACTTCTTAGGGATTAACATACTGATATTTCCATAAGGGGGAAATACTTCTTCCCTGAAACTGCGTTGAGAACATTTGATCTTAAGAAAATGTGTGTTAACGTAGCAGAATTATTATTTTATCTTTACAATCTAGCATTTGTTAAATCCTTAACTGCTCATAACTGTTGGGGCTTCCCTGGTGGCTCAGCTGGTGAAGAATCCACCTGCAATGCAGGAGACCTGGGTTCGATCCCTGGGTTGCAAAGACCCCGTGGAGAAGGGAAACGGCTACCCACTCTAGTATTCTGGCCTGGAGAATTCCATGGACTGTATAGTCCATGCGTTCGCAGAGTCTGACATGACTGAGTGACTTTCACTCTTCACCAGCAGCGGTTCGGCCTGAAATAAGAGCTTTCAAAAGTCTTTGAACACAGACACTCTAACTTATTTTCCCTCTGGGATAAATATTTTGCATTTACTTTGAGGTCATATATACACAATAGGCACAGAACTCTCTTATGTATTTTATTTGCATATAAATTAACATCCTAGAAACTTTAAATAGAAACACTAAGGCACTAAGCGTTCTTTAGAAAGTGCTATAAAATGCTCTGAATGATTGCTTCTACTCAGCAAATGGTAAGAAAATATGTGTATTAGTTGCTCAGCTGTGTCCGACTCTTTGTGACTCCATGGACTGTGGCCTCCCAAGTTCCTCTGTCCGTGGAATTCTCTAGGCAAGAATAGTGGAAGAGGTTTCCATTCCCTTCTCCAGGCGATCTTCTCAACCCAGGCATGGATCCCAGGTCTCCTGCATTGCAGACAGATTCTTGACCATCTGAGCCACCAGGGAAGCCCAGGAAATAGATCGACCGAAATCCTATTAATCAGGACAGGTGCCATTAGAGAGAAAATAACCTACTAGATTAATTTAGTTTTATTATTGCGATTCTCCTTGGGAATCAAAAATAGGTTACTTCTGGAGAAACTGACAAATCTGTGATTTAGCTCTGAATGCTCAATTGTATGCCATCTTTTTCACTCTTCTCTTACACTTTCATCAATAGGCTGTTTAGTTCCAACTCCTGGAGGCATTTCTTATTCCCCTTTCTGTCTTTTCTCCCTCATAAGGGGACCCATTTATATCTTTAACAACATAGTTTAACAACAGGTTCTTTCAATATATTCTATACTTTTCCGTCATATATATATTTTTAACTGATCCATCCTTCAGTTCACTGATCCTCTGTTCAGCTATTTCTAATTTGATGTTAATCCCAGAGACTGAGTTCTTAAATTCCGTCACTGTTTTTTTTTTATAGTTGTAGCATCCGTGTTGATTCTCAGAAATTTTTTCTTTGGTCAAGTATATTTTTTGAACTGGTGACATTTGCAATTGATACATCTAGCATACCTCTGATATGCTGATATGCATCTGATCCCTCTGGATCTGTTTCAGTTCTTTTTCTGTTGGTCCTGTTTGTTGTTACACCCTTTTTTGGTTTGTTGTTTGCATGTTGGGTACTACGTTTGGAAAGCCCTAGAGGTGCTGAGTGATGCTGTCTTCTCCAGGCTTTCCTCTGACGTAGACCTCTCGTGGGGACAGAGCTCTGTGTTCGCTCAGGGCCTGAGTGACTTGAGGCTAGGGGGTCCTTGTGAGCTGAGTCTCAGCAGCCTTCACCCACTTTCCCCGCCCCCCTCACCCGACCCCAGGGAGGAGCCCTCCAGCATCTCCATCTGGAAGCCTGGGGTGCCTCCCAGGGCCCCTCCTTTTAGGCAGGTCCTGAATCCCACCGTCCACCTCCTGAAGACCACGAGGTGATTGATACTCAGTGCTCAGCCAGTTTGGGCAGGGTGTTGGGTACGTTTTCTGTGCCTAACTTTTCTTAGGGAGACTGGTCTCTACCATCAGGACTGACTTGTCAGGCCTACGCTCATATGTTTGTCTTCCCAGTCCGAGGAGCTGTCCAGAGCTGTGTCAGCCAGTCCCCTCTGCTGGACGTTCCCCCGCCTTTTCTTTGCAGAGTCAGCTTTGTTCAGATGTCCCGGGGGAAGGAGCGGCCTCTCAGTCTCCAGCTGCCTCACTGGGCTTCCCTTTTGCTTGAGATCTTGGATTGTGGCTGCCTGAGGACCTCTTTTAAAATGTATTTAGCTTTTCTAGCTCTGGGTAGGCTGACCTACAAGCTGCTTGCGTTTGTAACTGGACGTGGGGAAGCTCTGGGTGTCTTCTCTCATCTGAAGCCACATGTAAGCATCACACTAATTATACTGATCATCTTTATTTGATACCGGGAAAACAAGAGGCAGGGGTCCTTGCTTAGTACCCACGGTTGTGTTTCGGATCAGAATCCCCAGCTTGCCCATGCTCTTTCAGTGCCACTTGAATTTGGGAAGAAGGTGGAGCAAGCAGCCCACGCAGCCTGGGGACGGAAGAGCCGGTGTGCCTGCTTCCCCTGCGCCTGCCAGCCCAGGGCAGGCCTTGCGATGACGGGCTGCTGGTGGTGGAGGAGAAGCTGAGGAGAGCGGGGCTGCGTGACCTGTTGTGTGATGGGGTCACCTGTGGGTTTTCTTTTTCAGTTTGAAAAATGACTGCTTTTAATCTTCCCTCCAGTTTCACTTTAAGGTTGAAAATGAAGATTTTATTCTTCAAGTTGAGCACAGTGATTTTACAGTCTTTTTGAAAGCCACAGTTGAGGTTTTCAAAAGACGTCTCAGAGAACTGCAGTAGATAAAGCAAAAAAAAAAAAAAAAAAGAGACCGTGTTCAGGGTGCACTGCGGGTGGGACCCCAAACTGTACCCTGTCTCCCCAGAGTCTGTCATTGCTGAGATAGGCGGATATAGGACCTCAAGCACCCCGGGGACTGAGTCCTCAAGTGACCGCAGAGGACCAGGCTGAGCCAGGAGCAGTGTGGGCTATGCCCTGGTGTGTGGAGAGCCGCGAGGCTGGGAGTGGGGTCAGGAGAGGGGGTGGGAGACTTGCGCGTGGAGGGCGGGGCAGCCCCTGGAGTGATCTGGGAGGTGCTGGCTGTCACGGCTTGAGGCAGGGCCACCCCTGAACCTGCACCATGCAGTCCCCATGGGGCCGAGTCGTCTGGCGGCCCAGGGTTGAAGTTAAGAAGGTGAGCTCACAGCAGGTTGAATGAACCCCTGTCCCCACTCTGGGGTCATTGTAAGCGCCCAGAGCAAGGTTGGTCAAGCCCTTGCTGAGCTCAAGTGAGGGAGCCAGTCAGGGAGGACCAAGCTCAGGGTGAGAGTGAGGGGAAGCCAGTGCGGGGAGTCCTCCTCAGCCATGTGGGTTCTGGGCACACCCTTGAGTTCAGGGGTGCCCTTTCAGTAGCCTCACTGCAGGCTTGTTTCGGGGGTGGAAGAAGCAGAAGCCCACTTAGAAGACGTGCTCATCCCTAGCGGTGGTGGTTTCTGAAGCAGTTTATACTGTTCGGTTTGACTGTGACCCAGTGACCTTGCAGGGTGACATTTGATGGTGGGCCTGAGCTGTGGGCACGGCCTTCCTTCTCCCGCACCCAACACACACCTGCCATGTTTTTGGCAGCCCCTCCCCACTCTCTGCACCCTTGATGGTGGGCCGGAGCCCAGCCCCCCTGTTACCATGGAGCCCTTTGTGACAGAGTGGCTTTCATGATCCGGGCTCCCGGGTGACGTGCTGGAGGCAGAGCCTTCGTGTCATTTCTTCTTGAGATAGCGGAGCTGGTGGTCATAGTGTGAGAGCAGTGTGAGAGTGGTGTGTGTGAGAGTGGTGTGTGTGAGAGTGGTGTGTGTGAGAGCGGTGTGTGAGAGCAGTGGTCATAGTGTGAGATCGGTAGTGATACCTCAGGCACCTAGGGATCTGCCTGAGAAACAGCAGGTGCCCCCAAGTGGGGGGCTGCCCCCATCCGCGAGGATGGGTCGCAGAAGGGCCATCCTATGGGCACTTTTCCCATGCTGCAACCCCAAGAAAAAGGCCAAGACAAGAAATAAGTTGGCCTCATCCCAAGTCGTGGAAGCAGAGTGCCCGGAGGTGAGAGCAGCCGGGGGATGGGCCCGTCGGGTTGGCCCTCACCCGGCAAAGAGTTGGGGTTGTGTTTTACTTTGTTCGCATGCTCGTGGGCCCTGCCGGCCAAGGCGTTCTGGCCTCCTGGGCAGGATGGACCCCAGCAGGTTGACCTTGTAAGAGGCCGTGCAGATGCTGCGTGGACAATGGGCGGGGGCCCCACAGGAAGGGGAACAGGGGCTGGAGGAGTCACTGGGGCACGTGGACTGAGCTCTAGAGTCGGTCCTTGGAGCGGAAAGGAAAGGCTAAGCCCCTTAAAGTCTCTCTTCTTCCAAACAAGGGATCCACTGGCTGGAGGAGTCTCTGGGGCGTGTGGGTCGAGCTAGAGAGTCAGTCCTTGGAGCAGAAAGGCTGAGCCCCTTAACGTCTGCCATCGTCCAAAGCCCAGAGCAGTGCGCCCGGTGTTCTAATGACGGGTGCCTACTGCTCCTGTGTATGACACACACCCTCACAGCCTCACATGTCTACTACATGCCTCTTACAAAGTGCTGGGCAGTGCTCTAGGTGCTGAATACTTAGTATGTAGTAGGGGAGACATAGCCCAGGATTTTTGTATTTGTGCAAAGAACAATAGAAGAATGAAAGAGTCCGTGTGGTTCGGTTTGAGCAAGTTCACCACGTGGACGGCCCCGCGTATGTGCATATTGTGATAAAATACATATAACATGAATTTACCATTTTAAGCAGTTCGTTGAATGACTGGGTGACTTCAGTGGAGTCAGGCTAACAGACGGCCTTGGGGTGCCATCAGCCTCTTTCCCAGAGGAACACTCCAAAGCCTGGTGGCCTTGAAGACCTTACCTTTCTTCTTCACTCTCCCCAGGGGCTCTCGGTCACTTGTCTGTGTGTCGTTTAAGAATCTCTTTATCCACTTTGTTCTTAAGTGTATGTTTAGGAAAGTCTCTCAGACTTCCCTGCGTCTTGAGAAGGCAGGCTTGGATTCCGGGTTCTCCCCTACCGCACAGGCTTGGATTCCGGGTTCTCCCCTGCCACGTGCCTGCCAGGTCGAGGTGGAGGCTGCAGGCCAGTCTGAGTTGTAGGGGTCTGTGTGGTCTTGGGGTCAGTGGGCCCCCTCTTCTCCGGAGGGGCAGGGAGATCCTTTGAGTGGAGCCTGGAGAGACTGGACAGTGTCAGTCTTCAGAGTCTCGCTCTCTTTAACATTTGTGTTTGCATTTATTTACTTCCTCATTGACCTGTTTTCTAGGAGTTGGCATGTCGACAGCTAAAAGCATGCAGGGAGCAGCTTCTTAGAAGAGAAGCAGAAATCTCGGAACTAAGAGCAGAAAGGAACAACACCAGGGTCAGTAGGCGGAGTCTCACGTGTTGACCTGTGCCCCGCAGGGGTCACCGCTGGTCTCCATGTTGCTGTCTTGAAAGTCTGGTTTTCAAGTCATTTTTCACATCCTCCCACTGAGCAGACCGAGGTGGATCAGTTCGGGTTTCTCACACCTTGCTTCAAATTGATGATGAAAGCTAATGTAATTTTAGTACATTTGAGGGGAGAGTTCTCTTAGCTTCCATTTTTGTCCATGCTGCAGTTTGTGTGGGATCTTAGTTCCCACACAGGGATTAAAACCCATGAGCCCTGCAGAAGTGTGGAGTGTTAACTCCTGGGCCACTGGGGAAGTCCACTCTAACTTTAGACTGAACTGGCGGGATTCCGACATGCCTTAGCATGGTTTCGGTCTTAGCGTGAGGCTGAGAGGCGTTCTGGGCCCTGAATTCAAGTGTGAGGTTGAAGGTGCTCCTTTGGCCCCACCTTGCAGCTGCTGCTGGAACACCTGGAGCTCCTGGTTTCCCGGTACGTGCCGTCCCTCCGGATGACGGTGGAGAGGCATCAGGCGCGGTCCCCAGCCAGCATGACCAGCGAGTTGGAGGTCCTCAGGGCACTGAGATTGCTCTTCGAGCACCACAAGGCCCTGGACGAGAAGGTACCAGCCACGCGGCCGTCCTGGATTTGTACACTTGCTGCCTGGTTAGGTGGACGATGCGTGTGTTTATGGAACTAGTTGACTTTTGAGCTTCTTGAATTCTTGTAAATACAGTTTCTCCGTAAGAACTCAGAGTTTTATATGGTTAAAAAGCGTTGCCTGTGTACATGCTCAGACATGTCTGAGTTTTGCGACCCTGTGGACCATAGACTACCATGCTCCTCTCTTCATGGGGCTTCCCAGGCAAGAATACTAGAGTGGGTGGCCATCTTCTACTCCAGGGGATCTTCCCAACCCAGGGATCGAACCTGCCCTCTCACACTGGCAGGCAGATTCTTTCTCACTGAGCCTCCTGGGAAGCCCCCAGTTAAAAAGTATTAGTTGGCATAAATGTCTCAAGATTTATTTTATTCTGTTTGTCAATTTGCAATTAAAAACTGGGTAATACAGTTCTTTTAGGATAAATTCTGAAACTTAGAGTTTAAAGCCGTTAGTAAGCAGATTTTCTTCACCTTAAGGTCAATGAGAGACATTAAAGGTGTTCTGTTACAGTAACCATGCAATCATGTGAGGGTACAATAAGAAGTGCACTAACGTATGTACACAGATCAACACACAGTGATTCGGCCCCTTTTATTTCAGTTGAGAGAGGAACTACGACGAACACTTCAAAGGTGTAGTTCCTTAGAAGAGGAATTAAGTACCAAACACAGAGAGGTAAGTTTGATCAGTCATCGTGTAATTTCAGTTAAGGATTCGTCATTTGTATACTTTCATTTTCACAAAGTATGAAGGCTGTGGTGGTGGACATCAGATGTTATTTATCTTTGAAAAGGGGCGCAAGGGCCTGAGGAATAACCCCAGGGAGGGCCGGGCCTAGAGCCAGGGAGAGACATGTTGGAGGGCGGCGGGCTGGGCAAGGAGGGGAGTGGGCTTGGTGACATGGGCTCCTCCAGCTCCCGGGGAGCTGCCCGGTAGGGCAGGGCACAGCGCCTGCTTGCAGAGAGCTGGAGAGCAGGCGGGACAGGGACAGCAGAGGCCACTCCCAGGCAGCCCTCAGAGACCCCCAGTGGGCATTGCAGGGAGCCCTGGAGGAGGAGTCCGCTGGTTCCTGTTGAGGCATCGGAAGGTGGGAGAAGCGAGAGGATGTGCTGACCGGGCTGATGGGGGTGAACCCATAGGCAGCTGGTGCGCTGGAGGGGAGCAGGGATGATGGCAGGTGGTCCTGCAGCCAGTGAAGGGGGTGGCCCAGCCCTGGGGAGGGGTCGTGAGGAAGACGGGGTGAGGGCTCTGGCCACGGGACTGGTAGCTGGCAGCCAGCACCTCGAGGCTGGCCTTCGGGTGCTTTGAGGTCCTGTCTGGGAAAGAAGGCAGGACCTGGGTTGAGAGTCGGACAGGGGGGAGATTTGCAGAGAGAAGGGTGTGAGAGCAGGAGGGCGGCACGGGGCCCAGCAGGCACTCTCCCGTGCGTCTCTGATGGCACAGCCGCCCTTGCGGTGCGAGGGGCTCTCCCCCAGAAGAGGCCGAGTGCCTGTGCCCCGAGAGGACAGCCGCGGGGGCTGGCCCTCCAGTCCGCTGGCTGCCCTGCTCGCTCCTGTTTGTGAGTGTGCAGATCAGCCTGGAACACGTAGGGCTGGGAACCTGTAAGGATGGCACTCCTCGGGGAACTAGTGCAAGTGATGACCGCTGAGGCAGACCTATTGGCTACGGAGCTGAAGGATTTTTTCTTTCATGTTTTCCTTCAGCCTGCCTGCTGGAGGCATGGATGTATGTTTTTAATTTTGCGTTTTTGTTTCTGACTCCATCGGCCCACCCTTTTGAATAACCTCATAGGATTTCCTTCCGTCCACGCTAAGAACTGAGAGTGACCAGGACATCTAGGAACTGGATTCTCCTCCTGCCCGTTTCTTCAGTACTGCTCGCTTAAGAGATGGCAGTGTCTCCTAAGCATGGCCGCTTATCCAAAGTCGGGCTTCCATGTAAAATTGTGTTCGGTTCCTGATAGACGTGAGCTGTCCTAAATGTCGCTGACAGGGCGTGGTCCTCTCATGCCCAGGTGCAGAGCCAGAGGGAGCAGGGCTGGGAGTCCGCAAAGCAGGCCCGCGTGGTGGCCACCGTGGCCGAGGACTTCGAGACTGACGAGGATGTGCCTGATGGCGAAGGTGATGGGCCCACCCTCTTCAGTTCGGCCGGTCAGCTGCTGCCCAGTGGGCAGGCAGATGCCGACACTCTGCCTGTGAAACTTCAGGAGCACCTGGACGCCATCAACAAACAGATACGGTGGGTGCGCCTGAACACGGCTCCCCAGAAACTGGGCTTCTCTGAGGAGCTGTCTTCTCCTATGAGAAGTCTGAGTGTTCCATAGTGAGAAAACTGACTTCAGGCCTGCTTCAAGGATTTTCAGTTCTCAGACCACCCTTGACGAGAGAGCTCAGACAGGCAGGCCGTTCTGTCCACAGCTGGTGTCAGCACTCTCTGGGGGGGCGTTGTGTGGTGTCCCCCCCAGCTCTGAGCCCCAAGGTGGGTGAGGTACCGACGCAGTGTCCTCTGCGTCCCGTGTGCCCTCCAGCACTGAGAGTTCACCCTCCCGTGTCCATCGGAGACTCCCACGTTCTGGTGAGAAGCTACCTGGAACAGAAAAGCAGGGGTTTGGGGGTTGGCAAATTCCCATTCAGATCTGCATTGTCCTTTTCAAGTTAATACAGTGTGAAGATTGGCTTGTTGTAAGACAGTGGTCCAAGGACATATGTTTGAGTTTCTCTCATCTCATCAGGATATTTCAGATGTTTTCTTTAGACACCGTCTTGGCAGTTGTAGCAGTTTACAACACGGGATAGAAGGCAAAGGCCCGCCTCGTGGTGAGCAGCGGGCCTTGGGTCTGGGTGCAGCCGGGTGACCGGGGGCCCCGAGGCCTGCCTGGGCCACACCCGCACAGCTACGCCCCTGTCCCGGGTCCACGTCCAGAGTGGCCGCAGGCCGGTGACCCTGTGCAGGACCAGGCAGAGCTGCTGCTCAGATTGTTCTCGTCACGTCAGCCCAGGCCGAGGTGCCCGTGCCTGCGGGCCGAGCACGCGGGGCTCGGGGGAAAGTCAGGGGTGAACGGCACACCCAGCAAACGCAGGTGGTGCCGCCTGCACTTTTGACGCCGAGACAGACTGCTTCCTGGGCCCTGTTTCAGCTCAGACGAGCTCAGAAAGATGGGCTTTCCCCATCCCCGCAGGAACGATGGAACGGTTCCATGTTAGTATTTTTATTTGAACAGCAAGTTGTCAGGTAAAGTGAATTTTCCTTAGGCAGTAAGTTGACTTGTTATAAATGGCAAATCCTGTCCATCAGCTTGCTATCACCAGTGAAAAACTTTCAGGACTTATAGGTAGAAGTGAAGCTGGAGAGGTTATGACCTGCAAGAATCCTGTATTTTATTTTGGAAGTCATTTTATATGCATCATCGAGTATTTCAACTGCTATTTAAAATCCTCCACTACACATTAGGGCAGAAGAGCAGTAAGGGTGAATTCTATGTCAATGCGGCACATTGACATGAATCCAGAGACTCGCACAAAGCTGGTGGAGAACTTCATCAAGGGATGCGTTTGTACATATGCAACCGTAAGAAAAGAAAAATCCCCTCAGCACTTCATCTGGTCTGGGGACTTTTGTTTAGAAACTCCAGCTTGTTCATGAATCGCTGTTTTGGTTATAGAGAGTTCCCGATTTGCAGTGGCAAAGACTTGAGGCCCTGACGTGCACCTCTGCCCTGAGAGCAGGGAAGGTGAAGGTTGTCAACTTCAGGTATCTCCTCACAGGGAGAGAGTCGCCACTCGGGCCCCATCAGAATGTTAGCATAAAGGAGTCAAATCAAATGTGAATGACCAGGGGCCAGTTTGTAAGACTCAGTGCTCAGTTATTCCAAGTTTGAGAATATTCAAAAGAGGGAAAGTCGAACCTTTTAGCCGAGATGTGAAATGAGCAGATATTCCCGGAATTGGCTCATCGCGACACAGAATGCCAGCCCAAATTTGCTGTCCAGACAGGTTCCTGTGCTGACAGAGGCAGCTGACGAGTTTTTCTCTCCTTTAGGTGGATCCAAGAGGAAGAGAGCACGGAGCAGCGGGCCGAGGAGACTGAGAGCAGGGCGGGCAGGGCGCGCTTAGGCAGCCTTCGGCGTTTTGAGTCCCTGAGCTCCCTCAACCTGTGTCCTGCCTCCTCACTTGCCAGCTCCTGCCCGCCCAGCAGGGCGCCCTCCCCACCCCGAAGGAGGCGGCGCAGCCTGGCGCACGAGGGAGACCGGCTGGGCATCATGACTGCGGTATGTGTCTGCCTCCTCCCTGCCACATCCCTCCCCGAGCACACTGTTTTTCTTTCTTTGTTTTTTCTCTTTATCCCCAGAGGAAAATCAGGTACATTTACTATGCTCAGAGGGCTAAGAGTTTTAAAACTGCCTGGTCTTTAATCATTCCATAATGGCACAGGGACCAATTAGTGTTGATATTTGGACCACCGGCTTAGCGGGCCATCATGAACTCAGCCAGAGCCTGCCTCTGGAACGGTGGGCCTGGCCTGTGCTGGGCACGACAGCGGCAGGGAAGTTTCTGTCGTCAGGGAGCAGACAGCCTCGTGAAAGTTACCACAGGCAGCCCTCTTGGCGAGTGAAAGGCGGGCAGCTCATGTTCCACCGGGGTCGCCTGGCTGCAGGGTGCAGGGCATGCGGTGGCAACAAAACCAAGAATCTGAACTGGTCCGCTTGCTGATGGGCCTTGCCGCACGCGCTCAGGCCAGCTGTGCGCGTGAAACCAGTTAAAGGCCCGGGGCCCCAGGGCCCCAGGGAAGAAGTCGGGCTGCCTCACTCTTCCGCGTCTCAACACGGGATGACGACCTAGGGCTTCTGGTGACAGAGTGTGCGGCTCTAAAGCACATGTGCCAGCTTTCTTGCCTGTGTAGCCTAGTTTTCTGAGTGCATTGCTGTTTATCCCATGAATCTCGTGTACAACACTCTGCCT